GTCATTGTACTCGAATATTCCTATTCAAGAAAGCATCGATGCGACCATTGAGTTATTAGAAGATCATGAGGATTTTAGTTGATATGTTTGCACTGTCATTATCAGACATACGCGAAATGCTCATGTTTGTCATCGAGTCAAATTTCTTTGAGTTTGAAGGCGCCATCTATCGACAACAGCAGGGTCTAGCTAGGGGCAACCACCTCGCGCCACTACCCATGGCGCATTATACAATCAGCCATACAACACTCTGACACCGCACGGACAACCGCACGCATCCGAGAGCAGCCCCGCCAGCAGACATCACACCGGAAGGGGAAACGACAGTACATGTCGCTTGTCAAGGTACCGTACGTAAATGACCAGCTTGCAAGGAGGGTTCGTCAAGTGGTCAGGTCGTTTGATAGAGATGTGCGTGTGGTCTTTACGTCCGGTCGCTCACTAAAGGATATGTTGGTCTCGTCGTCATTCAGCAAGCCACAATGCCCCAGGACGGTACAGCAGCAGAGAGAGAAGAGGCGGCGGGGTAGGCCGGCTGAATGTCGTGCATGCGATGGTGGTCTGAAGCGTGATGCTTGTATGTCCCAAGATGTGGTGTACTCTATGACATGTACCATCTGTCAAGAAGAATACGTCGGGGAAACAAAAAGGACAACACGCAAGAGGACCGAGGAGCACTACAGACAAGCCAAGAACGCGACATTTGGAAAGCCATGGGGAGACCATTATCGACAAAAGCAGCACATCTTCCCATCGTTACCGCAGTTTTCACCATTCGCCCATCTGCAAGTTCTCACCCGCAGGCAACGGTTATACGTTGACCGCAGAATCATGGAGGCACTATTCATGAGGAAGAGGAAGCCGGCAGTGAACAGTGACAATGGTTGGCGACTGTTGGGTGATGTGTAAATATGTCTGTCATTACCATAATTTGTGCAAGAATGTGTGCACTGTGTGTATGTGTGTGTGTGTGTGTGTGTGTGTGTGTGTGTGTGTGTGTGTGTGTGTGTGTGTGTGTGTGTGTGTCTTTGTGTGAGTGTTGCTAGAAGTGTGTATTTTTCTGCTTTGTACTCACGCTAGTAATCCTGCACTATCACTGCACTATATTTTCACTTCATACATATCACACAGAATTATAATCTCGCTTCCTGCGGTATTGCAACATTTTACGCTATACCATCACACTTTGGCCACTAGTACTTATCACATAATATAAACCCCTGTTCTGTCTACAGTAGACTTATTCCTGATGATGGGCCTTGCCCGAAAATTTGAGTTAATGTATATCAATTGCAGTGTAGCCTAGAGACCGTTAGAGAGAGGGTGTACAAGGTGTGTGTACAGGATGTATGGATTCAATTATTGGCTACAGTGGAGTCTCCAAACCTTGAGAAACATGTGGACGCATGGCTGAGTTATGACAGGCGTTTCCGGCGCGCCATAGCCTCCCAACCACTGTCGTACGACTGGGCTATCATAGACTCTAATTTGTGGCAGTCGTCATTCGTCAGCCGTGGTCGCACGCCATGTTCGATCTGTTCCCTAGTGCACCCAGTGGCCCAGGCCCGGTGTCCTTTTAGACCAGGGCCTCCATCCGTCGGCGCTGTGAGTGGAGGTCCGCCACAGTCCAGCGCGCCAACCCATCTTGGGAAGCCTATCTGTCGCAACTTCAACAGGGAACAGTGCAACAACTCATTTTGCTATCGTGCCCACGCGTGCCTTCAATGCCGTGGGAAGCACCCAGAAGTCAAATGTGGCAGGGGACAGTCCACCACCTCAGCGTCTGCTCCGTAAACATTCTATGGAGACCCCCATCAATGTTAGCCGATTAGCCGGGCTCCTTAACCGTCATTCTGATCATTCCTTCCCTCACTTTGTGTTGCATGGGTTGTGTCACGGTTTCACGATAGGCCATTCTGCTGCTATATCTGGTGTTCATAGTTCTCGCAATCACCTGTCGGCCATCCGTAATATGCAGTATGTTTCTTCCTATTTGACCGAATGTTGGAAGTGCGTCTGCCTCGGTCCAAGCTTCTGGCGCTATGTCGTTTAGTCTCTACCACCCTCGACAAGGGTTGCATTCTCAAACGCGAACTCGCCTCACTCCTGGGCCACCTCTTGTTCGCTTCCGGAGCAATTCCTGCCGTCCGTATATTCTTACGCGCCTGTATGACCTCGACAAGGCCACATCTGAGATGCCATCTCACCGAATGCTGCACCTCTCAGCCTCAGCCAAGAGTGACTTGAGCTGGTGGCACCAGACTCTGCCAACATGGAACGGAAAGTCATTGTTCCTGCTAGAGAAGTGGATGACCTCCAGTTGCAAGCCGACGCAAGTGGCACCATTGGATTCTGAGCCTTCTTCAATGGTCGCTGGTTCAGAGGTGACTGGTCCCCGCAGCAACTGGAACTAAGCATCACCTACAAGGAGCTCTTTGTCATTGTCGTGGCCTGCGCCACATGGGGATCGAATGGCTGCGGCTGTGTGTGGAGTTTCAGTGCGACAACCAAGCTGTCGTGGAGTGCCTGAAAACGGGCACAAGCTGGTCTCCTGCAGTCATGGCGCTCATCCTCACCCTGTACTCAATCTGTGTGGAGCACAATTTCCTGATCCGAGTATCGCATCTGCCAGGCATCTCCAATACCATCACTGATGCCCTGTCCCGGACCAAGATGGATGCCTTCAGGACCCTTGACCTACAGCTGCGGAGCGGCCTGACACCATGGTCCAGCCGATCACTGAGTAGGTGCAAACACATTCTCTTAGGATGCAGATAACGTTCTCTGTCGATCCTACTCCACAATATCAGTCTGACTTTATGCCTCTAGTACAACGCTCTTGTGCAATACATACTTACCATCTATATTGGTTGTTGTCGCCCGCTATCTATATATTTCTAAATGGGAATGTCGGCATGGGCACTCCTCCGTAACTGGCTTCTCGCGCACCACTGTTAAGCTCACATGGGTCATAAACCGCTCCTGCTCAACGCAGGGCGACCCACCAACTCGCATGGGTCAAAAACCGCTCCTGCTCAGTGCAGGCCGACCCACTTGGTCATATACAGCTCCTGCCCTCGGTAGGCCGACCACACGATTCGTTAACGCGCACTCAATTGAGGCCAGCTACTCTGCCCAACATTCCCATTCTTCCAAACTCACTCATGTGTCTTTTGGTGTGTCGCGTCCTGCACGCGCGCGTGTGTCTACTCTATACTCTAGCATGGGGAGTAGAATGTTAAACGTTCGGTTAACGTAGGAGTTAACCGTTGTTAACACGCATGGACTCGCTATTGCAGTCCAGTGGAGAGAACACATCAATATAGAGGATTCATGGAGTGCTGGGCAACCGAATCTGGCATGTGATAATCATTTAGGATAGTCCATGCACGAGGTGCAGCCCATAAAATGGGCACCCATGAACTGGGCGGATTGTGGACGACCTGTATGATAGTGTGTATGTATGTCCACGCACAAAGTGCAGCCCATGAGATGGGCGCCCATGAAATGGCCGCATTGTGAATGGCCCATGCACGAAGTGCAATGCCCGTTAGGAGGCAGGAGTGTGGGAGTATGAGTGTGATGGCCGAAGGCTGTGATAATTGCCAGATGAGAGGAGATAGCTGGCCCAGCACTCCTATTTATTTTCGTCTTGCATGAATTATGATACCTGTGTTGAATCAAGGATATTAATAGTATTCATAGATGGGAAGAGGTGGGTGGGTGAGAAAGGAACAAACCGGTGTTCTTCTCACTACCCAAGCAAAGCAAATATGAAGTAGCAATACGGCCAGCGCAAAGTATGGTGTATGCGTTACGGGTTCAAGCTCCGATGTGTGCTGCAGCCGCATATGGCTGGTTGGCTGGCGAGTTCAGGTGAGTTCCGGCGTACGCATGTTACATGCCACCGCAGCGTGCCTGTACGTGTTGCTTGACATGCATCAATGAATAGCGTGGGATCTGCGGGCTCTTTGGAAGCCGCTGGGGCGCATGTGAAGTGGTGGCTTGTGCAATGGGTTAACCTATATTACCGCAAGCTCTAATGTGCTATTAATACGCATGCACTCGCTATTGCAGACCTGTGGAGAGCTTTGGTGTTGGCCTTTATAACGGGTTGCATGACCCTCGTTACGTGTGTGCACGATCTTGCTCTGTCTACATACTGCTGTGTATCATAGACATCACATGCCCACGTTCTGCACATGCACAGATTTCCTGTGAGAACAAAAGAGCTCGCTGTCTTTCCAGTTTCCTTGCCTGCAGTCAGCTTTCAAATTCTGACCCACGCTCCTCACTGATCCCATTTCGTACTCTTACAATACACTCCACATACTTTGAAACACACGGATGCGGGCACTCCTCGAATAACTGGCCTCTCGCGCACTACTATTAAACTTGCATGGGTCATAAACCGCTCCTGCTCAATGCAGGCCGACCCACCAACTCGCATGGGTCACAAACCGCTCCTGCTCAGCGCAGGCCGACCCACTTGGTCATATACAGCTCCTGCCCTCAGTAGGCCGACCACACGATTCGTTAACGCGCACTCAATTGAGGCCAGCTACTGCCCGATATTCCCATCCTTCCAAACTCACTCTCTTGTCTTTTGGTGTGTCGCATCCTGCACGCGTATGTGTCTACTCTATACTCCTGCATGGGCAGTAGAATGTTAAATACATTTACATCACTTTAGTATGTAGGGAGGGCCATTGTATGGACCAAAGAGTGAATGGTGTGCCATGGTCTGCGTAGCCCACGCTTGCCAGAGCAACTGCTTGGTTCCAGAAGATCTGTATTCTGATTCTGCATGATGCGACACTCGGCTTATAACACAATACATTCTGCTTTACTGGCAAATGGTGGAATCCCTAAGGTTAAGTTCTGTTGCTCTGGCCTGGCGCGAGTGACTAGATGCTACTTGTTGCCATCGAATATATCGCTCAAACCGTGTTCTGGAAAAATGCTTAAGGAGAATCAAGGATAGAGATTGTTCAACTTACATTGTTCTTTGCAGAGATCGTGTTGGGTTGGAGATCTAGTAGATACTTGACGAGTTCCAGATGTCCTTCAAAGGCAGCGTAATGCACAGGAAGGTAACCGTTCTGTGTACAGGTAACACACATGACCAAACATTCCTATACGTTATCCATCAGAAAAGTACTTATATTGGGTATAATGCACAATCCACTACGAAGTGAGGCAGTCTCATGCACAACATTCTGGTAAGTCAATTGACAAACTCTTTACAAGCTAAAGCTGGAAAACCCCCAAACCTGCTTTAGTTCTGGGCACGAGATTGGTTAGTTTGCATTCTTTTTGAGCCAAAGTAATGTTGCAATATTCCTCTTGTGGGTTGAGGGGCATATGATGGGCACAAGTATAGAGTACTACGAACTCTTTTGAATCATTTTATGGACATCTCTGCACACACCAAAACATTCTTGTTCACGTGTGTTGAATTGATTATGCCCTCGACGCCCTCAAAGTTGTACAAGTGCTAGTGTGCACGTGTGCCGTATGAACTGTGCATGTGCTGTACTCATACGCATGCATGCTTACACCAAAGTGTAAAAAACCGCGCCAAACAAAGACAAGTGTAACATTCATTTCAGTTCAGCACAAGTAACAAAGACGGAGATCGTTTCGAAGCAGTTTATTTCATACACAGAGCAGCATGGCTTCAATATTTTGTGTGGCCACCGTATGCTTTGATTAGGGCTTCAACACGACGTGGCATCGACTCCACGTATGGGGAAACCGTGTCGGGAGCCAACCAGTCCCACTCCAGGTGCAGTGCCTGCACCCGCTGGTCAGCATTCTCGCAGTGATGTGGAATTATTCTCTTCATGAGAAGAGCTCACACATTCTCAATTGGATACATGTCCGGCGAGCAGGGAGGTTGAAACAGGATGTTGGGTACTCCGCTATCGAGATCCTGCTGTGCTTGAGCTGACGTGTGGGAGGTAGGATTGTCGAGCTGCAAGGACAAGTCGTTTGCAAAGAATCCGATGCCACTCGGTACAATGTCGGCTGCCATTCCTTGGGCGAGCGTTGCTGCATTCCACGCAGGAGCGAAGGACAAAATTAATGCCGAACGGTTACGAAAAGTAAATTGGCCCCGAGAACGTGCACCTTTGCTGGACAGTGTGGCACCTCGACTATTGGCTTGTCGTTCTGCGGGTACCAGGACATAACACGTCCGTCAGAACCCAAGGCAATGCATGCCGCGTCTGCAAAGACAACGCGGTCAAAGTCAAACTAGGGATGCTCAATTCCCCATACTAGCCGGCTGTTCTTTGCTGCTTCTGTCAGAACAAACCTACGCACCGGCCGCCTGAACCTGTAATTATTCCGTCTGAGGCTTCTGCGTACCGTGCTGGGGGGCTGCCATTTCCCCACCAGGTTGCTCCGTGTCCAGAACCTCAGAAATCTTCTCACTGTTCGCGAAACAATTGGCAGCGCTGTGATCAGCAACAAACTCCATGCCCACAGGTGAGAGTCTCGGCATTGTTCCGCTGCCTGCCTGTCTTGCTACGCTTCTCCCAATTTCAACTCGATTGCATGTGTCCTTTACCTGAACATGGACAATAGAATCGAAGATTTTTGTGACTTGTTTTCGATTTCATCACATTATTGATGATCTGTTTCACTTACCTGAGTCTTCTTGTAACCGGTTATGTCCATACTTATTTGTCTCGGAGTATGACCTGCTCTGTAAAGGGTCGCTATTATTTCTCGTCTACTCAATCCGCGATATTCATGTTAAAACAAAATGGCGTCACGATTTATTGAAAGTGGTATAGTTGGTGGTACGAGTGTTCAAAACCATTTGAACTTCATACTGTTCGTCTTCTTTTTGACATGCTCTCTTTCCATCGTCCTTAGCTTTTGTTTATTGTGAGCTGTTTTGGCTTTCTCCTGTACCTCTGGGGGATGCCAAGTGATGGTTTTGAGAGGCTGGTGATGGCTGTGAGCGAGAGTTTGCCGATCGGCGTCGTCCTCGCTGTAGCGATGAAAATACTAGTCACTGCGCACCTGGCAGATATCACAACACGTCGGAGCGTCCAGGAGCAAAGGAATCTTGGGTTTTCACTGGAATCTAGTTCCTCCAGCATCGTGTAGCCCACCGTCGGTGAATGGCCGTCCAGAAAGGTCGAACCTGGTCTTCTGCAGCATCTCGCAGTCCTGCGAGGCACACCGTGTACGCGTGCCATGTATTGTACAAATAAAACTCATGCAGTAGTGGACTCTACAGTGATTAGTCTCAGCCTGTAGTGTAAGCTGCAAAAGACACAGGAAATGTGATTGGTCTCTGTACACTCAGTGACTGGACGCCAACACCCCATTCTTCTCCTGCAGGATCTGTTTGACATTGACATTATGCAGTAGGTCGGCATTGACCTGGTTTGGCAGCTATCGTAATAGTATCTGCCTGGTTGGATGTAGCAGGTTGGCGTTTGCTCGTCGTCCAGTCCGGAATTTTCTTGTAACTCACGGTGGAGTACGCGCAGGGTTTGTGATCATCCCTGTTCACTTCAATATTATCAAACACAACGTTCCCTTTGTCACTTATCTTATCCTGAGTACTGAATTTGCTGACAATATTGCACCACACTTGTCACAACCTACCGCCACTGCTGGCGGTGGCGACTGGTTCGTCAATGGCGGTGACCAGGCTGACTGACCAGCTTCGAGACAGCGGCCTCGTTGTCAACCCCGCGGCAGCCTAAAGGTTGATTTTATCGATCCAGCCTCAGCGCCATGTTGACGATGCCCTAGTGACTGTGTGTCATGGATTGCCTTGCCATCAGCGGTCATTGCCGTCCACCTTGGTGCAGCCCTCAACAACTGGCTCAGCCCATGGGAGTCTCAAGTGGACAAAGTTGTTGCCAAAGTAGCTCAGAAGATTGGTGCATCGTGGTGTAGGTGAGCACATAACTAGGACTTCCCAGCGCATATTTTTCCAGGCTGCGATACTATGTGACATGCTGTACTGCACATTCTTTTCAGCACTGCAAGGCCGGCAGCTGGACCGACTGCATGGGGCCGCGCACATACAGGCCGCCTGTTGCCAGTGCAGCATTCTGGAACGTTCCTTCTTTCTGAGATCCGTGGAATAATAACTTTCTTTGCTTCAAAGCAAGTTGCTTACCTTTCTGTTGTGCTCCCAGCGTCCTTACAACAATAACCTACAGCAATGTTTTATTTTCCTTTCCATTCCCCAACCAATGAATACTACAATGTCGATTCTATTTCTGAATACTTTAGTGTGTGCCCGCGCACGCACGTGTGTGTGTGTATACCTCACTCGCCACTCGAAGTTCTGTTCCCCATTACTGGAACACTGCCTGTTCTTTCAGGACCTGCCATCATCTGCAGATGGGCATTCAATGATTGTATTGTGTGCATGTGTTTCATTCAGAATCAGATCCGCTATCGTTGCTATAAGAGAAAATCTGTGGGTTCACATCCAGTGCATTTGTAGATTTGCGTGCTTTTCTCGCCACGGGCGCATACATGGGACATTGTGTGTGTGTGTGTGCGTCTGTGTGTATGGGGATATTGTATGTATCGGCTTTTGGTACTAATGTTCAGGTCTGTGCTTGCATGTGTGAACATGAAATTGTTCGGTTCTGTGCATGCTATTGCTATGTTGTATATTATTGTATGTATGTGTGCATTTCCACGAACAGTGTAGATGAGTGTGGAGAGTGCATTCATCCCTCATCAACCACTTCCCCTTGGGCTTACGAGAGTTTTTTCTGCGTACCTCTCATTTTTGTTTGTTTCTCTCTGATACTGTATTGATGCCGGTACCTGTACCTCAATGTGTTCCTCTATCTGCAGTCGCCTTTATCCTTCGGTCAAGTTAACGTTTATTGTGCTCTATTTATCGTGCAAATCAAAATAAACAATAATAACACAAGTCATGCTAGAGTGGCGACATGTGCGTGTAGTAGGGTTGATGCGATGGGACGTTATAATTAAGTGGAACAGAACACACATTGGGCAGATTGATTGGGCATCATTGATTGTGCTCAGTCTAAACAGTGAACATAATAATTATCGTCAGTGACAAACTGTAGCGGCTAGCCTCCAATAGGTAACTGGCACTAGTCGCTACTGCTTGTTTGACAGGTGCCGCCAGAACCCCTGTTGTGTCATGCTATAGATGCACATGCCCTATTCTGGGGCATACTGAGGTACTTTGATTTTGCTGACTGCATGTAGACAGCATCCAATAGTAGTACTCGTAGACCTTGGCTCTTTGTAGGTCAAGCACCATCGCATGGATCGATCGGTGACTATGCACTTGGAGGTTGGAATAGCCCGCGCTGAACAGATCTTGCCCAGGGAGTGAACTCGCTTACTCGACTATCCCGGTTTTAGTTAACCAGCATGAGTGGTGCAATTTGTTCATACCATGTTGCAAGCTCACAGTTGTTTGGGCAGGTTTTGAGCTGCACCACGAAACAAAGCGAAATAATGGCGTGACTGTAGAGCAAGGAAGCGGCGAGACGGCACTTCCAGGACGAGACAGGCAGTAGAGATGTGTTCACAGCACGAGCAACCTCTCAAACCCTGCCGGTAATCCACAGTTACAAGAAAATGTCGGACTGGACGACGCGCCAATGCAAACCTGCTACATCCACCCAGGCAGATAGCTGCCAAACCAGGCCAATGTCGACCCACTGCATACCGGTATGTCAAAGTCAAACAGATCCTGCAGGAGAAGACTGGGATGATATTGGCGTCCAGTGTACGGACACCAGTGACATTTCCTGCGTCTTTTGCAGCATACAGGATAGACTCATCACTATAAAGTCCACTACTTCGTGATTTTTATTTGTAGAATACATGACAGGCGTTTTCAGTGTGCCTCGCAGGACTGCAAGATGCTGCAGAAGACCAGGTTCGACCTTTCTGGACGGCCATTCACCGACGGTGGGCTGCACGATGCTGGAGGAACTAGATTCCAGTGAAAACCCAAGATTCATTTGCTCCTGGACGCTCCGACGTGTTGTGATATCTGCCAGGTGCGCAGTAACTAGTATTTTCATCGCTATAGCGAGGACGACGCCGATCGGCAAACTCTCGCTCA